ATTAAATTGCTCTCTACAAAGGCTATACCATTGTACAGTTCTGCCATAGTGTTTGGTTGTTTCTCACTATCTCATCAATACTGGGTATTGTTACTGCTTTTAATATTTGTTAGTTTGATAGAATTTTGCTACCTTTTTCATTTATAATTAGTGAGGTGGAACATTTTTTCACATGATTAAGGACTTCTGTTTCTCCTGGCTTACCCTAATCACAGCAGTGCCCATTTTTCTTTGCATGATTTATCTATTGATTATTAAGACCTCTTTCTATATTAAGAATATCAGTCCACTCTGTTATATAGTATGCAAATATTTTTTTGTTATTTCTCTTAAAAATGTATCTCTTACCAAATGAAATTAAACATTTTTTATATAGGGGCACCTGGCTGGCTTAGTCAGAACTCCTGATCTTAGGGTTGTTTGAGCCTCATGTTAGGTACAGAGATTACTTAAAAATAAATAAAACTTAAAAAAAAATTTTTTTAATACATACGTGAAATCTTTTCCTTTATGGCTTCTGAAATTTGTATCATGCTTAATAAGGTCTTTTCCCTGGCTAGATTATACAAATAAAACTTTCTCAGATGAACTTATTTCAGTTTTAATGTTATTTATTCCCAGGCCTTGGACACATTCTTTAAGCAAACTATCTTGAAACCATTATAGACATATCTCATTTCTTTAACACTTATTACACAGGAAAACTGCCTAAGAATTATGACCCAAAGGTGACCCCAGATCCAGAAAGATGGCTACCAATGCGAGAACGTTCTTACTACCGGGGGAGAAAGAAGGGTAAAAAGAAGGATCAGATTGGAAAAGGGACCCAGGGAGCAACTGCAGGAGCTTCATCTGAACTGTAAGTCGTTGCTCCTCAGTTGAAGTCACTCAGAGCATAGGTTGATTCTTTCTCAGATGGACTCAGGATCATTAGTAAGAATTTTTAAAATATATTTCAAGTATAAGGAATACAGTCACATATCTTTATTAAGTGTTTTGCCAATATGCTTATGTAAAGGAAAGAAAATTTGTTTTGGTTTGATTATATTGTAAATATTAGGATTATAGAATTGTATCGTAAATAGTAGGATTCCAGTATCTTCAAAAGGAACCTAAATACACTGAGTCATTCAGCTGAGTATAAAGAACAATAGATACTATAAATAAGATGATTAGGAAGAAGTATTAAAAATGTTACTGAAGTTATTCTTACATTGTAGGATTATGAGTCATTTAAATTTTTTTCTTTTTCCTACACTTTCTAAAAATTGGCATGAACCATATATTACTTTTTCTTTGTAAAGCAGTAAATGTTGTATTTAGAAGAAAAATGGATAGGAAGTTGGGGAGCCCACTTTAAAAGAAACAATATGTGTGGGAGATTGTTAGGAGTAGAAAGTGAAATCCACGTACATGTGTTTTTATAGTTTTTTCCTTTGTTGAATATATGAATGACCAGCACTCTCCTGATCTGATTTCAGGGATGCCAGTAAAACTGTGAGCAGCCCACCAACCTCCCCAAGACCCGGCAGCGCAGCAACAGCATCTGCATCTACAAGTAATATCATACCCCCAAGACACCAGAAACCTGCAGGGGCTCCAGCAACAAAAAAGAAACAGCAGCAGAAAAAGAAGAAAGGAGGAAAAGGTGGCTGGTGATTAGAACATTCTTGTTTGCAGGGTATTTTTAGTCTCACTGACACTAAGAACATAATAAAGGTAACACAGCAAGAAGCACAGAGCTACTCCCTTTCCCATCCCCACATTTTCATGAAATGATTTTCTTGTGTGTTGTCACACAGGAAAATATCTTCCTCAACCTCTGCCTAGTCAGATTTGGCCTGCTTGTACCACCCAGCTTTGCACAGATGATAAGGACTCAAAATAATGGGGCATTTTCCCACCTTGATCTCTGTTGCATTCTTTCTCTTTGTGTGCTGTGATCTGGTGTTTTTTCAAAGTTTCACAAACAAGGCATGTTACCCAAAGTTTCCTAGGATTTAAACAGAACCTACTTCTGTTTAAACTTGAGTCCGAAGATAACTTGTTCCTAGCAAATCCCACTTTAAATTATGTCTTAGGAGGCCTTAGGAGACTGAAAGTGGAATCTTCTGAGCATTCCAAATATCTGCTTAGAAATATCATGTGATAAAAGGGACCTTATTAATACACTGGTGTTCTTCACTTCGTTACATGAATGACCACAGGAAAACTAAAGTAAATGTCATGATCAGTTTTAACTATAAATTCTCTGTCGTGTGATCCTGGAGTATGGGATACTATATATATGTAGTAACGAAATGTGTGTGTATGTACATATACACACACATATATATGTAAATTAGGACTCCTTTGCACCCTGTATTGTTTTCAGATTATGATGACATTATGCTGATTTAGCACTATTAACTCAAGGAAAATGTATCAATGTTGTAAGAAGTTGACTCTTAGACCCAGTGTTCTGAAGTCAGATGGGTTTGGAGTGTCTCAGTCAGAAAGATTTAATGGCCCTGTCAAGAACGTGAACATTGACTTCTGAGGTAGAGAGGAAATCCTTCAGAGTTCAGTAGTGGGCAGTATTAGAACTTAACTGTTTGGCCCAGTTAATAGATACTAAAATGACTCACCTTTGTCATTTGGGGTACAACTATTCATTACCCTTCTCAAAGTAATGAAGTATTGTACAGTCTGGTATCAGTGTTGCTCTGGTCTTCCTTGCTTGCAAGCCACTTTCCCATTGAACAGCTGTGAGACAGGCACACTGGGATGCCACCTTTGTTAGTATTCATTTTGTGCTGCCCAAGATAGCATTGAATTTAGACTTTGAGTATTTCCTTGTGATCATATTACTTTGTCCTTTTTAATAAAGTGCTGCTGTGTTTGACTCTGAACATATCTATTGAAACTTCTTCAAAGGTATTTTTTAAAAGGCTTTCCTCCTTTACAAGAGTAAGAAATGTGGTGCTGCCTAATCAGAATCTGCAGTAACACCTAAACAAGAGACGATCCTCTTATATATGAATGACTTATTATGACATAATACTTTTTGAGCTTAGAGAATAATCTTTTGATAAGAGTATTGTACTTATTCCTTCTGAATATATACCCCATTACAGAAATAATTGTTCGTAAATTTGTTATTTAGGATTCCATTAAATTTCTGTGGTGAAGGATAATCATATTTAGGTTAACTGAGAATTTTGGTGAAAGTTATCCATCGTTGAAAATTTTGACCCAAGGCACCAAGAGTGAAAGTTACATTTCTCTAGTCATTGTAATTACTAGCCATTGTTATTACCAGTCATTACTAAGCAACTGAAACCTCAATTTAAATAAGTTATAATTGTCAATTGAAGTATAAGCATCTACATTAATTTTCTAGTAATTATTTCTTCTTTTGGACAGGTCTTTAATCAAGGACATATACTTTGTGTGTGTGTACATTTATAAAAGCCAATATGGATACATCCATTCACTGTGGTACATTTTAAAATAAAATATTCTAGCAGTGAGTATGGATTAAGGTGTTTTGGGTTTTGGCATTTTATTGAGGACTTCCTGGTTGGTATACCTAAGAATTTTTTAGGCTAAATATCTAAAATTGTTTCTTGCCCCTCCCACAAAGCTTCGGACCTAATCTGATGGAACCCGAGAGAATCCATTTGTAACTTCACTGACAGTTCATCATGTTCATATGTGTTTATAAACAAATTGAGTAAACATTTTAACCACAGCATTTTCAAGGCTGCTTGTAAACTGCTAACCTTAAACATTTACATCAAACCTGGAACCAGCCTGTTATTCACTGTTCCTTACAAGCCTATCTGAACAGTAGATCTGATGAAAGAGAGTCAGTTTATTGCATTAAGGTAATTTCATTAGATTGTGAAATATATTCTTGAGAGCAGTTTAACAAAATAATAAAAAGAACCATCCCTATACTTTTCAACCAGTTTAAGAAATGTTAACACCACCTTTGAAAAGCCCCTGGGTTACCTAATTTGCTACATACGGGATCATTGTTCGTGACTATTTTGTTTAGTTGTAGTTGTTTAATACCTATCATTACTAGTATCTATGTTCCTGGTGGACTACTAATTTAATCACCAGGTAATTTTGTTTAAATGACATGTAGCGGGAATTTAAAATAAGGGAACTGTTCATGTTTCTTTTTTCATTTTTTTTAAAGATTTTATTTATTTGAGAGAGAGAGAATGAGAGAAAGAGCGCATGAGAGGAGGGAGGGTCAGAGGGAGAGGCGGACTCCCTGCTAAGCAGGGAGCCCAATGTTTCTCTTAAGCATCCTGGATAGCGGCCTCTAGACACTCCTAGTGGAGTTCACACGGGACGGAGGGCGGGAAGATACCCGACTTCACTTTTCAGGCTTGTGATTACTGGCTGGGAGAGGCGGGGAAACCTCTGGGACGCTCTGGACGCTGGCTTCCGAAGTGTGCTTCCGATAGGAGACTCGAGGGCCGGGCGGCACTAGGATGATGTGGGAGTGGTGACACGCTAGGAACTGGGCTGGCTTGGAAGGCCTTTCGGAGACACTGCGCCAGCACAAGGGAATCGGGGCCATAGTGCGACCTCCGGAGGAGGGGTCGCCTGGGGCGTTTTCCTACCCGGAAGATCAGTCCCGCGGGTCTCTCCCAACTCCCGCGGCTGGGCCTCCCCACCTCCCTGGGTCAACGCTTCCCCTAGCTCCCTCCGCTATCTCCCCTCCCCCGCCCCGGGCTCGGCGAGTCCGTTGCGCCGCAGACCCCCGCTAGCGGGGGTCAGATGCCCCGCGGCACCCAGCGCGCCGGGGGACTGGCCTCGGCCGCGCAGTTGACCGCGGGTGTTGTTTGCGCCGCGTGGACCTACGTCTCCACCCTGCGCCGTCACGGGGGCCACACCTGCCGGGACCCAAGGCGCCGGGACCCAAGGCCCAGGCTCCAGCGCGCGGGCGCGCGGAAAGAGTGAAGGAAATTGGGGCGGTGGGGATGGAGAAGGGAAAGGTGATGGAGAAGGGAAAGGTGATGGAGAAGGGGAAGGTGAAGAGGGGGAAGGAGCCAGAGAAAGAGAAAATTCGGGAAAAAGGAAAGGAGGAGAAAGAGAAAGGAAAGGAGAAAGAGAAAAAGAAGGAGGTGGAGAAGGAGAAAATTAAGGGAAAAGAAAAGGGAAAGGAGGAGAAAAGTAACTGTAAAGAGGAGGAAAAGAGGAAAGAGCGGGAGACCGAGAAAGAGAAGGAACAACTTAAGGCAAAAGAAGAGAAAGAGAAGGACAACAGCGCCTTGACGAAGCCCCCGCTGGAGCCGCCGGTAAGGGACGCGTGCCCCGACCCGCTCTCCAAGGCCGCTGGGGGCGGTCAGGCCCGAGCGCCGCCGGCTCTGTTACGTCAGAGGCCCCGACCTGCGCGGGAGGGAATCAGGCCTCCTTTGAGGGCATTTAATCTGTGGATTTGGAAGGAGGTGTGCCAAGCTTCGCAAGACCCGTCGCTAGCCCCTTCTCCCTGTCACCTGGCTTACCCTCACTCCTAACCCGGCCCTGCGTCCACCCTCGGGCGGGGCAGCGGTGAGGAAGAAGAGGTCCTGGTTGGTGTGCACGGGGCGGAAGCGGCCCTTCTCGGGCCCCGTCTTTGTGCAGCGCTCAGCGCTGGCGCACACCCCGCCTACAGTGCCGAAACCAGCCCCGAGCCCTCGCCGCCCTCGGGCTCTCCGACTCCTTTCCGTAGTGCAGGGTTCCTGAATTCGTGCAGATGTGTGTGAGGGCTGAACCTTCTCCGTGGTTACTGCTTCCATTGTTTTCCGGCTACCAGCGCCCAGAGGGACGGTCACAAAAGTTTTAACTGAGAGGTCTCAGAAACCAGGCACTGCAGTTACAAAAAGGAATACCTATGGTACTATTTATGTGAGGTGTACCTAGAGTGGTCAGAATCGTAGAGTAGAATTGGTGGTTGCCTGAGGCTGAGGGGAGAGAGAATGGTAGTGACTACAGTTTCAGTTTTACAAGATGAAGAGTTAGGAAGATGGATGGTGGTGATGGCTGCACAGCATCCTGAATGTATTTAATACCACTGAGTTGTATGCTTAATAATGGGTAAGATGGTAAATTTTATATTATGTGTATTTTACCACAGTGAAAAAATTGAGGGGGTGGAGGATAAAAAGAAAGAAAAAACAGGCATTGTTTGGATTAGCTTAATAAGCTTCTTGCTCCTGGAGTTCCTGAGCTCACAGGTGCTTTCTGGTTCTAAACAATTTGAATTTTTTTTTTTTAAGATTTTATTTATTTGACAGAGAGACAGCGAGAGAGGGAACACAAACAGGGGGAGGGGGAGAGGGAGAAACAGGCTCTCCGCAGAGCGGGAAGCCCAGTGCGGGGCTCTGGGATCATGACCCTTGGGATCATGACCTGAGCCAAAGGTAGAGGCTTAATGACTGAGCCACCCAGGCACCCCTAAACAATTTGAATTAACTGCGATTTGATCTCTGGTAAAGCACAGATTATTATAGATCCATATATTGTTAAAAGAATGACTATTGACAGGGAACTGTGGTGTTCAAAATCACAAATTGTGTCAGAACTTTTGGCTTAACGGTAATCCTAGCTTTCCTTAAGAGATGATAAACATGAGAAAGCATGTATTTTAGCATGTGTTTTGCTAAAAAATAAAATGTAAGCATCAGTGACTGCAGAGTTCCTAGACAGGGTAGAGTAAGGACAGGCATGTGGTTGGAAAGAGAGTAGGGAATTGTTTTTACTCACAATATTTCATAGGATCTCAGATATCATTATTTTAGCACCACTGAGAAAGAAAAAAAAAGTGCTGCCAATCAAATTATGACATACCCAGACACTTGGGTGGCTCAGTCAGTTAAGCATCCCACTCTTGATTTCGGCTCAGGTCATGATCTCAGAGTCCTGAGATCAAGTCCCACCTGGAGCTCTGCACTCAGCCAGAAGTCTTCTTGAGATTCTCTCTCCCTCCCTCTGCCCCTTCCCCTAACCCCACAGCCCACGCTCTCTTTCTCAAAAAAAAACAAAACAAAACATGAATTGTAAAACTCATTTTGGAGAGGTTAAAATGGGGGAAGGAGTGCATCTTGGAATTGATAAAATATGTTGGGGTAGCCTTAAGTGGAGCCAATGGTAGAGACAGTAAGGGGGACACAATCCACACCCTATAGCCATTTCTTGGGCTCAACTTTGCTTTAAAGCATGCAATTTAAATCATCCTACGAAGTATTCTCTATCAATGAAGTCCTTCTTCCTCACCACCACAGTCCCAGAATGACACTATAATGTTTAGATGCAGATGGGAGGGAATGGGGATGAAGATAGAAAATAACTATGGAGGGGCGCCTGGGTGGCTCAGTCGTTAAGCATCTGCCTTTGGCTCAGGTCATGATCCTAGGGTCCTGGGATCAAGCCCCACATTGGACTCCCTGCTCAGTGAGAAGCCTGCTTGTCCCTCTCCCACTCCCCCCTGCTTGTGTTCCCTCTCTCGCTGCATCTCGCTCTGTCAAATAAGTAAATAAAATCTTAAAAAAAAAAAAAGAAAAGAACTATGGAAATACCATTTGCTTTGAGCCATCAAGAACTCCAAAAACAAACATGTACTTTTTCTAATTCTGTTATTCAAAAGACAGTTTTCATAAATCATGCTCTCTATACAACCCTATTAGAGCAGATCTTCAAACATCTTACTTTAACATAGATCTTATTTTCAGAAAAAGTGGGATAGTGAAAAAAATTAACTTTCTATTAGAAACCCAGTCTAAATCTAATGTCAATATTTAGTGTTCAAGTACAAATGTAAAAGATTATTATTTCCAAACCAATGTCATTGAAGATAATTACTGGTGTTTTTGTGCATGAGAAACTTCTTCAGTAGGCAGTTTGGGAAATAGAATTGAATTCCCATGGGTAATCTGTCTGTATTGTTGGTCATTTATTACTGTTCACTTTAAATTTTGCACCCTAAAAGCCACTTTTCTGAGCCCTTTGAACGTTTCATACCAGCCTGCCCTTCTTGTCTCTCAATCACTTGTCATAAAAATTTCTAAGTCTGGTATGTTGGCGGAATGCTTCTTTCTAAAGTTTATGTCAAGTTCAACAGGTTTTAACATCAGGTTCTAAAAAAGATGTTCATTTGTGATAGGAACCTGTTTAACAATTTCTATAACCTTAGCCTTTTCATTTAATCATGATACTTATATTAAAAAGTACTCACTTGCCCTAAAGTCTTTTAATCTAGTTAGTGATCCAATTAGGAAAAGAAAACAGATCAATAATATGAGACTTTAGGTGCTTACATGCTGAATGGCATAGTCAGTACATGAACCATAGAGGTCCCAAGATCCCAAACAACAAACTGAATTCTGGAGCAATTCCCAGTGGACATGAACTCAAGAAGCAAAGTGAGGTCTGAAAATTGATCCCGTGATCTATGGCACCTCCTATAAATCCTGATATATATATATAAATATATGAAGTCTATATTTAATAGATTAATCACCATCATTCTAGTTGGGGGATGGAGGGATGTGGTATGATTAATACCACATAACTAATGGTTGGTTATAAAATACAAACTGTTTGGTACAGTTTGTTCTAGATCTATTAAATTTTTTTTAAGTAAGCTCTATGCCCAACATGGGGCTTGAACTCATGACCCCAAGACCAAGAGTCCCATGCTCTACCAACTGAGCCAGCCAGGTGCTCCTAGACATATTAAATGTTCTGTGAAGTTTTGTTCTGGTTTACAATTTCACAATTATTATTGGGTCCTATCACAGGCAGGCACACTGCCAGGAGCCAGGAAAACAAGGCCCTGGTCGCATAGGTTTATTGATTTGTCTTTTGTTTTCACAGGAGAAAAATAAGCAGATCCTTGTGTTGGGCCTGGATGGAGCAGGAAAAACTAGTGTTCTGCACTCTCTAGCTTTAAACAGAGTCCAGCACAGCGTGGCACCCACCCAAGGTTTCAATGCAGTGTGCATCAACACTGAAGATAGCCAGATGGAGTTTCTGGAGAGTAAGCCCTCTTTCTCATTAGTAACAGGATAGGCTTATCTTGTTATACCTTAAGCCAGCCATACTGTTAGCAACATTGCACCCTTATGAAAAGTGACACTGGGTCAGGTTTTCCTATGCTTTTAGAATGCATATATAGTTTAATAGTGCACTGTGGAGGAAATCACTTTCTATTCTTATTTCCTCCTTTTTTCAGGGCTGGCATACAAGGGAGCTGCAAGGAAGGCTATAGCACCCCCTCCTATAATAGCCTCTCTTTTCCCTTACTACCCCCAATAAACATTCAATCTAAGTAAATATAACATAATTCCTTCTCTGCAAATGCAACTATAAACAAGCCCCAAACCTCTTTTTGTAACCAGAGGGCAGCCCAGAAGTCTCTACGCTAAAGTAGTAATGGAGTCACCCCCTCTCTAAATATTGCTATTCCCCAAAGTTGCATTAGATTCTGTTCTTTACATTCTCTCCTTGGATGATTTCCTCCATCCTGTTGGCCTTAAATACTGTCTCTATGCTAATGACTCCCAAATTTATCTATCCAGCCCAAGCATATCCAAATGTCATCTGACATCTTCACCTGGATATCTAATTTGGACTCTCAAACCTAGAATGGTCAAAACAAAGTGCTTCATTTATCTCCATAACTGTTGCTTTCCCTATAATCTACTGCTCAGTAAATGGTTCCTCACCTATCATGTTACTCAACCAGAAAATTAGGAGTCACCCTTAATGTCTCCTTTTGCACCCCAACTCCAGTCCACAAATAAAACACTATGAATTTTTCTACCTCTAAACAAAGCTTGAATTCATCAGCTATATCATTTCCTACTGCACCTATTTCAGTTGGAACCTACACCGTCTCTCCCTTAGATTACTGTAATCACCTTTTTATTTTTGCTTTCATCCAGTTACAAAAAGAAAATATGGGCAGAGAAATTGGTCAACGTGTAGGCAAATCTTTCAGCTAACAACAAAATCAGGAATAGAGGTTTTAATTTGTTCAGAAGCTATAAAAGAAATAATGATTTTAACCAAATAGATAGCTAAGAAAATAGTCTCAAAATATAGAAAGTGAAAAGAAAGGAAGGAAGGAACAAAGGAATGAAAAGAAAGGGAGAATCCAACTAGAGAAAAAAATAGACATATCTACCATTGGAGTGAGGGATTTCAACATATTGTCAATTATTAATAGAATCAAAGAGGAAAAAAATCAGCAAAGATACAGAGAATTGGAACACAGTCAACAAGTTTCATCCAATGGACAATATAAGATTGTTCAATTAGACAATTTTAGCTACATCCCAAAGCTAAAATATGTGTTCTTCTCAAAGACTCATGGAACATTTACCAAAATTGACCACCTGGTGGACTATACAGCAAGTGTTAACAAATTTTTGAGAGAAGGGGCATCATACAAACCATGTTCTTTGAATACATTGCAATTAAGTTAGAAGTTAATAACAAAAAGATAAAAATCCCTATATAGGTGAAATGTCATGATGTCACAAAAAAAGTTGAGGAACAACCCAAATGTTCATTCATGCTTAAACTAAATATGTTAAAACCATATGAATTACTTAGAAGATTACACAACATTCTTTTAAAAAGTGAATAACACAAAATACTTTAGGGAATTAGTCTAGCTCTGTAAAAGGAAAACAAAGGACAGACAAATCGAGACACTTTCCCAGTAGTATTTTAAATGTTTTTGTTAAATTCCTAAAACAAAGGTCTTCAAACTTTTTCTGTAAAGGGCTAGGTAGTAAATAATTTAGGCTTTGGAGGCCTCATGGTCTCTATGTAGCTACTAAACTCGGTTGTAGTTTGGAAGCAGCCATAGACAATATGTGAACAAGTCCACGTCTATGTTCTTATAAACAGTTATTGGAGACACTGAAATCCAAATGTGATATAATGTTCCCGTGTCATGAAATGTTATTCTTTCTCTTTTTTTCCCCCCAACATTTAAAAATGTAAAATCCATTCTTTGTTCCTGGGCTGTACAAAAATAGGCAGTGGGCCAGATTTAGACTGTGGGCCATAGTTGCCAGCCTCGTTCTAGGAGAAAAATAAAAACTAAATTCATTGTGTATATATTATTATCATTACCAGTAAGTTTCTTCTGGGGAGAATCAGCAGAATGAAATAATCCAAAGGCATTTTTTTTCTGAGGCAAGTATTCTTAAATGCCCACCGGATCCTATTAAATCTTAGTGCAACGTTAAGAGGAGAAATTAGTTCTGGGGTTTTGACAAAGGAAAAAGATGGTGCAAGTGAGGCTGGCCAGTGAATTCAGTCTATTTAAAACTTATTTTGGAGAAAGGTGTGTTTTAACCTCTCACCCTGAATTATTTTAGTAACATATTCCCATTTTCTGAGCTTAAGTGATAGGCAGTGGCCCCCATGGCCGCTATGAGTTACAGATCAGGGGGTATCCACTGTATCCACTGTAGTGGATCTAGTGTCTTTATGCTGAGTCTTTGTGTCCCAGAATGATTGAACCACTTATGGAGGGTAAATATTCCCACCAGCCATTCTCCTAGGAACATGTCTCTGGCCATTCTCAGAATTGGGTACACTCTAACACAGTGGCATTTTATCAGAACACCTGCCCAACGTTTGGAAATTATCTAAAAGTGCCTTTCCTCAGTGGATGCTTCTGCAATGTTTTTTGGTGTCTTCTTTCTCTACTCTTCTCTGTAGTTGGTGGCAGTGAACCTTTCCGTTCCTACTGGGAAATGTACCTGTCCAGAGGATTGCTGCTAATCTTTGTGGTGGATTCAGCCGATCACAACAGATTACCTGAAGCCAAGAAACACCTTCATCAATTAATCGGAACAAACCCAATCCTTCCTCTGGTTGTGTTTGCAAACAAACAGGTAAGAATTTGGGCAAATACAAATTTTACTCAATAATTTTATTATTACTAAAAGAAATAGAATTGTCTACTTTTAATAGCTAGATATTTAAAAATATGCTGTATGTTCAGTTTAGTTTATACTTATAAGATCTCCTAGATTATAAACTCCTTGAGAATAAAGACCATCATTCATCTTTGTGTCCCTTAAACTGAACAAGCACAGTAGAAATTCAACAAATATGCATTGAATTTAATTCAATAAACATTTACTCATGGTTGAATTGATTTCAACAAAATATTTGAGTGTCTACCATACATAAAGAAATAGTTTGCTTTAGATCACTTAGCCTGACCTGAATTTATTTCACATACATAAAAAATATTAAACAACCATGGAGAAATTGGAACCCTGTACAGTGTCGTTGGGAATGTAAAATGGTACAGCCACTTTAGAAAACAGCATGGCAGTTCCTTAAAAAATTAAAAATGGAACTCACACATGATCCAACAATTCCACGTCTGGGTATATACTCAAAAGAATTGAAAGCAGGAACTCAAACAGATACTCATACATCCATGTTCACAGCAGAATTGTTCACAATAGTCAAAAGGTAGAAGTAACCCAAGTGTCCCTCCGTGGATGAATGGATAAACAAAACGTGATATATACATACAATGGAGTATCATTCAGCCTTACAAAAGGAAATTCTGACACATGTTGTGATATGGATAAACCTTAAGGACATTATGCTAAGAGAAATAAGCCAGCAACGAAACAACTAATATTGTATAATTCCACGTTCATGAGGTACCTAGAATTGTCAAATTCATAGAGACAGAAAGTAGATTTGAGGTTACTGGAGAATGGAAGGAGAGGAGAAGGGTCACTGTTCAATGGGCACAGAGTTTATATTGGTGATGGTTGCCTTGGGTTGGGGGAAGGAGAAATGGGAGTTATTGCTTTGTGGGTACAGAGTTTCAGTTTTGCAAGATGAAAAGACTTCTGGAGGTGGATGGTTGCACAACAGTGTGAATGTACTGAACTGTACACTCATACATGATTAAGATGGTAAATTTTGTTGTGTGTATTTTACCACAATAAAAAAAGTTAAAAAAATTAAACATCTATAGTATTGTAATACTAAAGCCCCTCCTTCAATTGCTAAAATTGCCAATCATTAGGGAACTTGATTCTTCCACTACTTCTAAGGGTGAATGCTTATGGCAGTAAACTAAGTAGTTAACAAATGATGACCTAAAGGAGGAGCCTATGTTACAGTTCAGCATGGAAGCTAGTCCTGCAGATTATATTGAAAAGAAAGGCTGGAGCTTTTGTTTTGTTTTGTTTTGAACTTCAGCATCTTAAATACCACAAACTACAAAGACCATGGTACATGTAAGTGAGCTATATGGTATTCCATTGCATGAATATACCATAATTTTACCGTTTTCCTGCTGGGTGTTTGGGTTATTTCCAGTTGTTTATTGTTCTAAACAGTGCCGCAGTGAATCTTCATGTATGTGTCTCCTTGTAGATGTCTATCAACATTTCTCTAGTGCATACACCTAAGAGAGGAATTGCTAGGTTTCTGGATTTGTACGTATTCAGTTTTACTAGATCAGGGGTGCATATATCCCTTTGAATTAGTGTTTTCTTATTCTTTGGGAAAATACCAGTAGTGTGATTACTAGATTATAGGGTAGTTCTATTTTTTTTTTTTTTTTAAGTAAACTCTACACCCAGTGTGGGGCGCGAACTCATGACTTTGATCAAGGGTCACATGCTCTACTGACTGAGCCAGCCAGACGTCCCAGGGTAGTTCTGTTTTTAATCTTTGGAGGAACTGTTTTCCACAATGGCTGCACCAGTTTACATTCCCACCAACAGTGCACGAGGGTTCCTTTTTTTCCACATCCTCACCAACACTTGTTATTTCTTGTGGGTTTGATTTTAGCCATTCTGAAATGTGTGAGGTGATAACTCATTGTGGTTTTGATTTGCATTTCCCTGATGATGAGTGATTTGAGCATCTTTTCATGTGTCTGTTGGCCATTTGTATGTCTTCTTTAGAAAATGTCTGTTCATGTCTTCTGTCCGTTTTTTAATTGGATTATTTGTTTTTTGTGTGTGTGTTTTGAGTTGTATAAGTTCTTTATATATTTTGGATCCTAATTCTTTATTGGATATGTCATTTGTGAATATCTTCTCCCATTCAGTAGCTTGTCTTTTAATTTTGTTGGTTGTTTTTTGTTTGGTTTTTGTTGTGGAGAAGCTTTTTATTTTCATATACTTCCAATAGTTTATTTTTGCTTTTGTTTCCCTTGCCTCAGCAGACATATCTAGAAAGATGTTGCTATGACCAGTTTTAGAGAAATTACTGCCTGTGTCTCTTCTAGAATTTTTATGGTTTCAGATCTCACATTTAAGTCCTTAATCCATTTTTAGTTTGTTTTCATTATTGTGTAAGAAAATGGTCCAGTTTCATTCTTTTGCATGTTGCTGTCCTGTTTTCCCAACACCACTTGTTTTTCCCATTACATATTCTTGCTTCCTTTGTCCTAGCTTAATTGACCATATAATTGTGAGTTTATTTCTGGGCTTTGTACTCTGTTCTGTTGATCTGTGTGTCTGTTTTTGTGCCGGTACCATACTGTTTTGATTACTACAGCTTTGTAATATAACTTGAAGTCTAGAATTGTGCTACCTCCAGTTTTGTTTTTCTTTTTCAAGATTGCTTTGGCTTTTTGGGGTCTTTTTTGGTTTTATACAAATTTTAGGATTGTTTGTTCTAGTTCTGTGAAAAATGCTGTTGGTATTTTGATAGCTATTGCATTAAATCTGTATATTGCTATGGGTTGTATAGACATTTTAACGATCTTTGTTCTTTCAATCCATGAGCATGGGATGTCTTTCCATTTCCTTGTGTTGTCTTCAATTTCTTTCAACAAAGTTTCATAGTTTTCAGAATACACGTCTTTCGCCTCCTTGGTTAGGTTTATTCCTAGGTATTTTATTATTTTTGGTGCCATTATAAACGAGATTTTTTCTTAATTTCTCTTTCTGCTGCTTCATTATTAGCATATAGAAATGCAACAGATTTCTGTACATTGATTTTGTATCTTGCAAATTTACTGAATTCATTTATCAGTTCTAGTAGTTTTTTGGTGGAGTCTTTAGGGTTTTCTATAATAGTGCCATGTCATATGCAAATAGTGAAAGTTTGACTTCTTCCTTACTAACCCAAATTACTTGCTAAATTTCTTGGCTGATTGCTGTGGCTAGGACTTCCAGTACTATGTTGAATAATAGTGGTGAGAGTGGACATCCTTGTCTTGTTCCTTACCTTAGGGGAGAACTCTCAGTTTTTCCTCATTAAGTATGATGTTAGCTCAGGGTTTTTCATATAAGGTCTTTATTATGTTGAGGTATGTTCTCTCTAAACCTACTTTGTGGACGGTTTTTTATCTTGAGTGGATTAATTACACTGTCAAATGCTTTTTCTGCAACTATTGAAATGATCATATGGTTTTTATCCTTTCTTTTATTGATGTGATGTATCATGTTGCTTGATTTGCAAATATTGAACCACTCTAGCATCCCAGGAATAAATCCCACTTAATCGTGGTGAATATATTTTTTAATGTATTGTTGGATTCTGTTTGCTAATATTTTGTTGAGGATTTTTGCATCTATGTTCATCAGAGATATTGGCTTGTAGTTCTCTTTTTTGTGGTGTCTTTCTCTGGTTTTGGTATCAGTGTAATGCTGGCCTCATAGAATGAATTTGGAAATTTTCCTGTTTTCTCAAATATTTTGAGAAGAATAGGTATTAACTCTTCCTTAAATGTTTGGTAGAATTCACCTGTGAAGCCATATGGTCCTGGACTTTTTTTTGTTGGGAGTTTTTTGATTACTGATTTGATTTCATTGCTGGTATTGGTCTGTTCAAATTTTTATTTCTCCTGATTCAGTTTTGGGAGTTATATGTTTCTAGGAATTTATCCATTTCTTGTAGGTTGTCCAATTTGTTGGCATATAAATTTTCATGACATTCTTTTACAATCATTAGTATTTGTGTGGTGTCAGCTGTTATTTCTCCTCTTGTTTTTTATTTTGTTTGAGTTCTCTCTCTCCCTCTCTCTTTATGAGTCTGGCTAAAGGTTTATCAATTTTGTTAATCTTTTCACAGAACCAGCTTCTGGTTTCATTGATCTGTTCTATTGGTTTTTGTTTTGTTTTGGTTTGGTTTTGTTTGTTTGTTTTTTTTTTAGTGTCCATGTCATTTATTTCTGTTCCAGTCTTTATTATTTCCTTCCTTCTGCTAGTTTGCAGTTTTGTTCTTTTTAAAGCTCCTTTATGTGTACAGGTAGTTTGTTTATCTGAGATTTTTCTTGCTTCTTGAGGTGGGCCTGTGTTGCTATAAACTTCCCTCTTAGAACTGCCTTTGCTGTGTCCCAAACATTTTTGACCGTTGTGTTTTCATTTTCATTTTTCTCCATGTAATTTTTTATTTCTTGGTTGACCCACTCATTTTTAGTAGCATGTTATTTAGCCTCCATCTATTTGTGCTCTTTCCAGATTTTTTTTTTCTTGTGGTTGATATCTAGTTTCATAGCATTGTGATCACAAAAGATGCATGGTGGGCAAGTGAGAGTGAGAGAGAGAGAGAGAGTGCGCATGAGCATGAGTGGGGGGAGGGGCAGAGGGAGAAACAAACTCCCTGCTAGCAGGAACCCAAGGTGGGGCTCCATTCTAGGACTCCGGGATCATGACCTGAGCCAAAGGCTAATGCCCCTTCTTCTTCTTCTTCTTCTTCTTTTTTTAAAGTAGACTCTACATCCAATGTGGGGCTCCACCTCATGAACCTGTGATCAAGAGTTCCATGCTCTAATGACTGAGCCAGCCAGGCACCCCTATCCCTAATGTGCTTTTATCACTACAAGGAAGCCCTCTTTTTATTGAACATTCTCCTTGTATTTTCTTCCTCTCCAATTCTATCAGTGAATTTATTACCTTGAGACATTGTACACAGGTTACTGGATCCATTAACACTGTTCAAAAGTTACTCCAGGCTCTATGGGGTACCTGGGTGGCTCAGTCGTTAAGAGTCTGCCTTTGGCTCTGGGTGGCTCAGTCGTTAAGGGTCTGCCTTCGGCTCAGGTTATAATCCCAGGGTCCTGGGATCGAGCCCCGCATCGGGCTCCCTGCTCGGCAGGAAGCCTGCTTCTCCCTCTCCCACTCTCCCTGCTGTGTCTCTCTCTGTCAAATAAATAAATAAATAAAATCTTAAAAAAAAATTGTTACTCCAGGCTCTAAGAATAAATGAATTCTGATCTCAGACAGGCAATATATTGGGATGACCAACATCTAGAAATGTAACCAACTGCAGCCAGATACCACCAGAAACATTTTTCTAGATATGTCTCCTGAGGCAAGGGAAATAAAAGCAAAAATAAACTTTTGGGACTACATAAAAATAAAAAGCTTCTGCACATCAAAGGAATCCATCAACAAAACAAAAAGGCAAGGGGCGCCTCCGTGGTTCAGTTGGCTTAAGATCCTCAGGGTCTGTGGAATGGAGCCCCGAAATGGCTTCCTGCTCAGTGGGGAGCCTACTTCTCCCTCTTCTCTGCTGCTCCCCCTGATCATGCTCTCTCTTGCTATTTCTCTCTCTCCCAAATAAATAAATAAAATCTTTTTTAAAAAAGGCAAATAGTGATTGGGAAAAATATTTGCAAATGATATATCTGATAAGGATTTAATATCCAAAATGTGTAGAGAACTTACACAACTCAACATTCAAAAAACAAATAATCCAATTTAAAAATAGGTAGAAGATATGATGAACAGACATTTCTCCAAAGAAGACATACAGATGTCCAACAGACACATGAGAAAGACGCTCAACACCATTAATCATCAACAAAATGCAAATCGAAACCACAATGAGATATCACTTTACACCTGTCAGAATGGCTAGAATCAAAAAGAAAAGAAATAAGTGTTGGTAAGGATGTGAAAAAAGGACCCTTGTGCATTCATTGCTGACAGAAAGTAAATTGGTATAGGCACTGTGGAAAATAGTATGGTGGGTCCTCATAAAATTAAAAACAGAAATACCATGTGATCCAATAATTCCATTACTGAGTATTTACCCAAAATACAAAAAAAACTAAAAACAAAAACACCAATTTGAAAAGGTATATGCATCCCTGTGTTTATTGCAGCATTATTTACAGTAGCCAAGATAAGGAAGCAACCCGAGTGTCCATCAATAGGTAAATGGATAAAGAAGATGTAGTATATATACATATATTGGAATATTACTCACCATAAAAAAGAATGAGATCTTGCCATTTGTGAGAACAGGGGTGGACCTGAGGGTATTATGCTAAGTGAAATGAGACAAATACCATATGATTTCACTTACATGTGGAATCTAGACAACAAAAGAACAAACAAATAAAAAGGAGAAATAGACCCATAAATATAGAGAACAAACTGATGGTTGCCAGAGGGGAAAGTGGTGGAGGGATGGGCAAAAAGGAGTGAAAGGGAATGGGAGATACAGGCTTCCAGTTATGGAATGAATAGGTCACAGGGATGAAAGGTACAGTGTATATAGTGGTATATGCTGAATATAATCAATGGTATCATAATAGCATTGTATGGTGAGAGATGGTAGCTACACTTATGGTGAGCATAGAATAACATATAGAGTTGTCAAATTACTGTGTTGTACACCGAAAACTAATGTAATATTGTACGTCAACTATACTTCAATAAAAAAAATTGATCCTATTGAATATGATTTTGGATAAATAAAAAAGAAATGGAAAAACAAAAATAGAAGCAGATTGACCAAAGTGTTTGTAAAACTGATTAAGGTATAGAATGGCTTAATTTCATTCTGAAAATTCTTTCTTGATGATAGCTCGTAACTGCTGGTATAATTCTGCTGCCCTTTATTTTTCTCTCATTTTTTTGTGTAAGTAATCTCTATACCCAATATGGGGCTCAAACTCACAACCCCAAGATCAGGAGTTGTACCAACTAAGCCAGCCAGATGCCCCATTGCTGATGTAATTCTGATTAAAAAAGACAAACACTGGGGTCATAATAATGGGGTCACAATATCCTTCACATTAAAACAGAGGTGGAATCATTGAGAGCAATAAATGAGAATAATAAATGTATCTATCCAAAAGGATTGCAAAATAACCAGCTTTTTCCTATCCTTTTTCTATTCTGGGTGAAGGATCTTGAAGCAGCCTATCGTATTACAGATATCCATGAAGCTTTGGCATTGTCTGAGGTGGGAAATGACAGGAAGATGTTCTTGTTTGGAACCCAAGTGACTGAGAACGGCTCAGAAATACCCTCCGTCATGCAAGATGCCAAAGACTTGATTGCACACCTGGCTGCAGATATGCAGTGACCACGCCCAGGCCCGCTGTGCAGCTGTCAATCTAAATCTCACTAGGGAGTGTTGAGTGACAGGTTTGAAGCCAAAGGTTTCCACTGTCAAATAAAAAATAAGCCATTTCCTATTTTCTTAATGCATGACATATATAGAAAGATAATGTTAATTGATTAAGAGCCTCTCTTTGCTTAGATTTTAAACTTTAAAAATATTGGTAAAATAATATATTCGGGGGGGATTTGGATTTTCATCAACGAAATTAAAGTGAACATTAGTAAGCATTCAAACCATTTGCAGTTTTTGATGACAGGAGATTTATATTAAAATATTTTAATAAACTACCTCTTTTCAAGTAAAAATCTAGGTGTCTTTCCTTAAGTAGATTCACTTAACACTCTAAGGAAAGAAATATCAGGATAAGGCAATGAGAAAAGTAAGCACTATAAGACCTACATAGAAATATAAATTAACAGCATTTAGAAAGATTTAGAAAAGCCTTCTCTTTTAGGAGCCTGATATACTAGAATAGGAACACTGAGGATTTGATTTTTAAGTACTTGACATTTTGCTTTTATACATAGATAAGCTTTCTTCACCAGAAATATTTTATGATAACTCTGTTTACCTACAAACATGATAAAAATCCAACTTTTAACCTTAGTGTCTTATTAAAAAACAAACAAAAGGACTTCAGTTTCTAGTCAGTATGTAAGAGGCTCAGAAGCTGTCACTCCATTCTAACAAGTGAAAAGCTAAACAGACTGCAAAATCAACCACTCTTCTAGGACCCATAAGAGCGGTGAGGACACAAGGCAAACTGCTGCCCCCAAGATTGAAGACACCAATAAAAGAATACAAAGAATGATAATTTACTGGCGAAGAGCTTCATGGGTGGAAACCAACTGTGGGAACCAGTGCCAGGGTAGGAAAACCAGAACTGTAATTGATGAATTGCTGGAGGTCCAGATGGATGACTATGACTAAAAACTCCAGGGGATCCAGACATAGTGGGGTCCCTATAATTTTGTGAGACTTATCTTCAGGAGCTTAAGATTCCCACAGCAAATACCAGAGAAAAACCCCCTGGTGCTTCCAGAAGAGGGAGAAAGGAACGATTTTGAAACATACCAAAGCATTCTGTCTTTATTAACAAAGCCTGCCTTTAGGGGAAACTAGTTAACCAAAACCTAACTTGCTGGGGTATTATCAAACCCTAACCTGGGGAAGAGAAATACCCAACTCCAGCCCATTCTAGCCATTTTGTCCCACATCAGCAAAGAAGAAAACAAAGGCACACTTGTGACGTTCACAATCCAGAGGCAAAGGCTCAGTAAAAGACTAAGACCAATCATAGGCCTATAGAACAGTTCTCTCTCCCACATCTTACCAGCACATTACTAAAGCTCTGTTTATAGCAGTTTCTTAATTAGTACATCATGCTTGGCTATCAAGGAAAAATTATAAGACATGCCATAAGCCACTGGGAGGCTCAGTTGGTTGATTGACTCTTGATCTCAACTCGGGTCTTGATCTCGGGGTTGTGAGTTCAAGCCCTGCATTGGGCTCTGTGCTGGGGGTAGAGCCTACTTAATAAAAAACAAAACAAAACAACCATACAGAAGAGACATCAGAACCATATGCAGCATTGGAACCAGTAGGGCAGAGATGTTAGGATTGTGAGAACAGGAATTTAAAACAACTTGACGATTAATATGATTAACGTTGATAAGAGTTCTAATGGATAAAGTAGACAGCATACAAAATCAGATGGGCAATGTAAGCAGACATGAAATTTTAAGAAAGAACCAACAAGAAATCCAAAAGATTAAGAAAAACTTTGTAACAGAAATGAAGAATGCCTTTGATGAGCTTATTAGTAGACCAGACACAGATGAGGGAAAAAAGTCTCAAGTTTGAGGATATCTCAGTAGAAGCCTCCAAAACCTGAAAAGCAAGAACAGACTGGGAAACAAGCAACAACAACAACAACAAAAACCCCAGAACAAAATATCCAGGGACTGTAGGACCACTACAAAAGATATAAAATGCATCTAATGGGATTACCAGAAGGGGAAAAAAGAAAAAAAGAAATAGAAGAAATATTTGAAACAATAATGACTGTGCAGAATTCCCCAAATTAATGTTAGACTTCAAACCACAGATCCCAGAGGGTCAGCATAAATGCCCCCAAAAACTACACATAGACATATCATTTTTAAGCTGCAGAAAATTAAAGAAAAAAAAATCATGAAAGAAGTCAGAGGAAAAAGCACCTTACCTATAGAGGAACAAAGATAAGAATTACATTCGACTGCTTCTCAGAAACCATGCAAGTAAGAAGAGAGTGAGTGAAACATTTAAAAGGTTGAAAGGGAAAACCCACCAACCTAGAATTCTGTACTCTGAGAAATTATCCTTCAAAAGTAAAGGAGAAAGACTTTTTTTATTTTTTAAAGATTTTATTTACTTATTTGACAGAGAGAGACACAGTGAGAGAGGGAACACAAGCAGGGGGAGTGGGAGAGGGAGAAGCAGGCTTCCCACGGAGCAGGGAGCCCGATGTGGGGCTGGATCCCAGGACCCCAGGATCATGACCTGAGCCGAAGGCAGACACTCAATGACTGAGCCACCCGGGCGCCCCAAGGAAAAAGACTTTCTCAAATGAACAAAAATTGAGGGAATTTGTTGCCAATAGACCTGCCTTGCAAGAAATGTTAAAAGAAGGGCGCCTGGGTGGCTCAGTTGGTTAAGCAACTGCCTTCGGCTCAGATCATGATCCTGGAGTCCTGGGATCGAGTCCCACATCGGGCTCCCTGCTCAGCGGGGAGTCTGCTTCTCCCTCTGACCCTCTTCCCTCTCGTGCTCTCTCTCTCTCTCAAATAAATAAATAAAATCTTTTTTAAAAAAAGAAATATTAAAAGAAGTTCTACAGAGAGAAGGAAAATTATACAGGTCAGAAATTCAGATCTTCTTAAAGGAAGAGTACTGGAAAAGAAATAAGTGAAGGTAAAATTCAAACTTTTATTTTTTTATTCCCTTTTTTTAAAGATTTATTTATTTATTTATTTATTTATTTATTTATTTATTTATTTATTTATTTGAGAGAGAGAGTGAGCATGGAGAGGAGCTGAGGGAGAAGTAGACTCCCCACTGAGCAGGGAGCCTGGATCCTGGATCCCAGGACCTCTGTATCACAACTGGAGTGGAAGGCAGATGCTAAACTGACTGAGCCACCCAGGCACCCCATGAAAAGAGGATTTGTTCTGCAAATCCTTCCTTTTAAAATTTGGGATTTGTGGCAAAAAAAAAAATTTAGTGAAGATGATTAGCGCCTTTGAATGTTAGCACATAAACTCCACTGTCAAGTATTGGGTTGAAATGGAACATACTTGAACTTAGGCATACAAGTGCAAAATGTTAGTTGCCCTCTGAGAGATGAGATGTTAGAGTGGATACTTTAAGGTCACTGGCTTTCTCACCTTCAGACCTGCAGAATAATGTTGAACAGTATCATATCACAACAGCCACTTGGGTTTCTAATGTTAGTCAGACCTTCCTTTATCTGTCCTATGGAAGTTGGATCACACAATGATTCAGGATGGTCAGAAACCCTGGATTTCAGCCTCTGCCCTAAGGATTGCCAAGTACTGGCCTTTGGACAGATCCCTTAACCATATTGTGTCTTACTTGGTCTTCACTCTGGAAAAGGATTAAATCAAATACAGACTACTTCCAGCCCTAAACTCTGATTCTATCACTTCCTTATGTTTTCTAAGGTAGTTGAGGGTATATATAAGTTCCTGGATACCTATTTCAAAGATGATGCCAAAAGCTTTTGGGATAGGGAATGATAACGCTGTTCAGTCTTGTTTTTCTCACATTCTGATTTTAGCTTCTGCATTTTGGTAGTAAGTGTTATGGTTGGAGTTTTTCCCTCAGTGAAGAACTATTGAGTGCCAACATTATGGTGGCTGCTTGATGCTGAGGATGATTAAAGCAGGGACTTGAGATGCTCTCAGGCTAGCAAGGGAGGTACATGACACGGGGGTTTCTAATGAAACGGCACTCAGCCAAGACAGGTTGTCAGAGTCTGCCTGGCTGCCACTCTTCCCAACAGGCCTCATAGGTGGCGCTCATTATCTTAGAATAATGACCATTGCCAACCTTCCAGGCTCAGAAACTTTAAGTGTAGTTAGCACACTAAGAATGGATCTGTCTTGGGCGCCTGGGTGGCTCAGTTGGTTAAGCGACTGCCTTCGGCTCAGGTCATGATCCTGGAGTCCCGGGATCGAGTCCCGCATCGGGCTCCCTGCTCAGCAGGGAGTCTGCTTCTCCCTCTTCCCTCTTGTGCTCTGTGTCTCTCATTCTCTCTTTCGCAAATAAATAAATAAAATCTTGAAAAAAAAAAAAAGAATGGATCTGTCTTTTCATTTATTGATTCAGTCAACATTTATTGAGCACCAACTGTATGCCAGAATTCTTGCATTTAAAATGATGGAAATCCAACTTAAATTGGTGTGTGCCAAAAAGGGCACTGGGGGGGGGAGCTCATTATACTGGGAAATCTAAGGCATGGGCAGATTCAAGAGTTTGAAGATAACAAGGCTGTCTCTCCATCTCTTGGTCCTGCTAACCTCTGTTTGGCTTCATTCTCAAACTCCCTCTGCAAGGAATTGCTCTCAACACCAAGCCTACAACATTCATATAGCTCATGATCATGGAGTCAAATGGATCCTCTCTTTTAAAGCAGCCATCCAGCAAATCTCATGGAGGGGCAAGATTGGTTCTGCTGAGCTCACATATTGATCTCTGAACCAATCCCTGTGGCCAAATTGCCCAGACCTGGTGGTGGGGGCGGGGGGAGCAGGATTAACCCCCTCCAACCATTTGGAATGAGTTCCCCACAGAAAGAATGGGTTCTAGTTTTAGAAGAAGAAGGAAGGGATTCTAGGCAGGAAAACAACAGAAAGAATGATAGCTATTCATAGCCATCCACTGTGCTTAGCACTGGGCATTTACCAGCCACCAGGATAGAGAATGTCCCTGTCATTAAGGAGCTTATATTCTGGGTGTGGAGGCACACACAAAAATAAAAAAGCAGATGAAATAATTATAAATTGTGTTGAAGCAAGGATCTGAGATAGAAGGTAATGGCAGGAACATTTTTAAAATTACTGTGGGTTGGAAAGACTTGAGTGGGTGATATTTAAGCCAAGCCCTGAAGGATAGAAAAGAGCCAGTAGGGAGGAGTGGGCTCCAGGCAGTGGGGACAGGTATAGAAAGATGCTGAAATGGGAAAGAGTTTGACATGTTAGAGAAGATTGAGGAGGCTGGAATGTAGACAACAAGGGTGGGGCAGCCCCCAGTAGATTGGAGAGAGAGAGAGGCAAGGACCAAGATCCTGGGGCATCTTATGGTGCAAAGCTTGAGATTTATTCTAAATAGTTTGGTGTGTCATGATTGTCATTACACCAGTTTGAGGGCACTTCAGAATCCAGAGAGATGAATATGCCCTGGACTGGCACTGGTGAAAGGAGATGGAAAGAAAAGTGTGAGGGGCGCCTGGGTGGCTCAGTCGGTTTAACGGCTGCCTTTGCCTCAGATCATGATCCCAGGGTCCTGGGATCGAGCCCCACATCAGGCTCGCAGCTCAGTGGAGAGCCTGTTTCTTCCTCTCCCTCTGCCTGCCTCTCTGCCTACTTGTGCTCTCTCTCTCTCTCTCTGTCAAATAAATAAGTAAAATCTTTAAAAAAAAAAAAAAAGGAAAGAAAAGCGTGGATTAAAAACACATTTGAAGGATGAACTGGAGTTGCTGATGTACTGGAGGGGGAGTGAGAGAAAGAGAGAATCCAGATTGATTCCTAAATTTCTCCCGGGAAAGACGTATGTCAGTTTCATGAGATTGGTGTATAAAATCAGAATGCCAATATGTAACTGTGATGTGGACCAGAATGAATTCTGTGTGATCCTAATCTCTCCCAGTAAGCAAAATCCCGGGGAAGCTGGGTCATGTCAGAAAGTTGCCTGGTGAGCATGGATCTATTGATGTATAAGTGGCATCAGGTCACAGATCCATCTCAAGAGGGCCTGAAGAACCAGCTGTATGTAACATTTGCAGTCTTTTGGCTTTGGACTCTCCTCTTTGCAATTTTTGAATAAACATAACCAGTAGGATATGAAATTTGAAGCATTTCATTTAGTGGTGGACTAGTACTGATTTAGGGGTGCCTTTTTAAGGTGAATCTACAGAACTCTTGCCTCATTGTTCACATGTTGAGTTAAAACTCTCTGATAGCTTTATTTCTCATTTCCCCAAGTATTTGGGATATAATTCTTGAATTTCCATACAGTACTGCACATGTCTATCTCATGTCTGAGGGAGCAGATTTCCTGATTCATATATGCCATCTCTTCTCATTCTTCTAGATGACATCCATAATCCAAAATCTTTCTCTTTTAACTTTTTGCATCTGTGAGACAAAGTATATCCAAGGAATACCCATAGTGTGCAAAAAGTGTACTTGGGTTTATCATATACTTGGACAGATGACTAGTTCTTGAACACCTCTAGTGTCTTCTCCCAAACAAAAACAAAAACCCCACATCAGGGAAACCCTACCACTTCTTTTCTCCTCTACCACACCATCATGGCCATGAAAATTAGCTGAAAGCCCTCCTCCGGATTGGGAGAGGTCCAGATCACTTACCTTTTTAAAATCTCTTAGTAAGAGGGTTGCCAAAAACAGTGTTATTAAAATTCTGGTATATTGTATTTAAATACAAATGTATTTAAATACAAGATGTCACATTTAACAAATTAATGTTATCAACACACATATCGTGAGATAATTACAGGGTTTATAAAAAAACAATGACTTATATAGTGCACTTCAGTTGATAAGCGCCCTGTAACGAAACAGGTTGTAGATGAATCTATTATTCTTGTAATCCCGTCAATGTTTCTTTGTGACTGTGTGTAGAACTTCATGTGAAGAAAACTTTAAAAATCTAAATTTGAGATTTTTCCTGAATATTAACTTTGGACCAAATGACATGTTGGTGTCGCCCCTCTCCCACAACCACATTATGACTGTTGTGCATTTACTAGAAACTGATGGAAGTCAATCTTAGTGATCGAGGGCCTTAGAATAAATAGTACTCCTCCCAGCATGATTAGGGAACAAAGGCCTATGGAGAGCCGGCGCCACAGAACCTCTGAACCTAACAGGGTCCTGGCTCTGCTGTCCGAGTGGTGCCATAATTAGACTGGAAGCTGCTATGTTGTCCCCAAGGCCTGGGCCACGGAAAGCACTCCAGAGTCCTCGCCCTTAACACAAGGAACAGCTGGTCAGGAACCCGCCTGTTTCTCTCCGCGGGCGTGCGTCGGGAGCGAGGCGCGTCCCCTTGGCAACCGGAGAAAGCTCAAGGAGGGCCCCCGAGCCGGGCTGCTCGGGCCGGGGCGGGCCGGGGCGGGGCTTGGCCGCCCCCCAGCCCAAGACGCTCGGGTCCGGCAGATGACACAGCGCGCCTGCGTCCCGCCCCGAGGATCGGCGCCGCGCGCAGCTGGAGCTTCTGGGCACCAATGGAGAACGGAGAATTTTCAGGCTCATCTGCGTTTACGGATGGGTATGGCGCGACAGAAATATCCGCTCTCTCCGAAGCCTTTCAGAAGCCCTTAGTACTCAGGCTTCTCGACATGCACAAGCTTGAGGGGCTTGAGGAGCCCGAGGAACCCCAGGAGCCGGCAGAAGCCAACAAGCAGAGCCAGCGAGACCAATGGAACGAGTTTGATGAGCCCCAGGAGACATCTGAACCCCACACGCCCTGTGACCCCCACGAACCCTATGAGCCCCACAAGCCTTATGAGCCCCACAAGCCCTATGAGCTCCACGAACCGCATGAGCCCCGCAAAGCCTACGAGCCCCACGCACCCCGCAAGCCCCGTAAGCCCCGCGAGCCCCGTAAACCCCGGGAGTCCCATGTTCCCCGAGAGCCCCAGAAGCCCAACGAAGCCGAGTTGCTTCCCAGAGCTGCCGCAGTCGTGATCTCCCCTTCTCTGATGACCAGGTTCCCGCTAAGGATTCCGCCTTCTTCCCTGAGCGGTAGGTGTTGGGGCCCTTCCCAAGGCACTGAACCACCCAGCCCTATCTGGAACTGGGGGCTCCGAATGTGAATATTTGCATGCAAGAGCTCACTTTGTTTTAATTTTTGTGTCATTTACCTGCTGCTTTGCAGTCATCTATCTTTGGACCGTATGTGACTCTGATGAGTAAATGAGAGAAATTGAATCTCTTCACTCTCTCCTCTCTTCACCTGATGACCTCCTAGCTGTCCTTGATTATTCATTGTAACATCCTTTTGAAGCTCTTCTTAATTTTTCTCTACAGTCATTTACTCTGGGTTACCACTTTGAACGTTACCTCTATTATAGCACTTAAGATGCTATCTCTTCCTCTGCATTAAAGGGAGGGATCCTTTGTCAGTGTTTGGCGCATGGTGGCACTCAATAAATGCTAGCTATTACATTATTAAAGTTGTAGGAATAAAATACTCATTGAGCAGGAATTCAAAGTGTATTTACTAAATGTTTACAGTCCTCACCAAGCCCATTACAGGGCTAATGGGTCTTGGGTATAAACATCCTTTGCTCTAACCACACTAGTTCACTTAATGACTTTTCACTGATGATCCCCCCCCAAAAGCAATTCTTTGTCCACATTGGGCTTCTAGTCCCTCAGCTGACCACTTTTAATCTCATGTTCTCCTTGGCTCCTCTTTATGAGCTTCCATTCTATGGTTTGTCAGTGGCTCACTTACATATTCCACCACCCTGTTGACTCTGGCTGTCCACCATACTTCTCCAAGCAAAACCCCAACCCTGGTTAAACCTAACCATCCATCTTCTGCGTACACCTGAGCAGCTGACTCTTGCTGAACAAAATCACACAATCATATGGTTTATTTCAATTTTATGACCACACATCTTACTGGTTACTTGATACTTCCTAGTAAACCCACTTTATTCATCTAGTAAATTCTCCTAATCTCTGAGAAGATAACTATCTTCTTTACTCTCCTCCAGATGTTACACTTTTGACCCCCAAACAGCTGAAGACTTTGTCTCACACTTTATTGAGCAAATAGAAATAGTCATGAGCTCTCTTCTTTTCTTTTTTAAAAATGTATGTATGTATTTATTTATTTGACAGAGAGAGCAAGTACAAGCAGGGGGAGCAGCAGAGGGAGAGGGAGAAGCAGGCTCCCCACTGAGCAGGGAGCCCGATGCGGGGCTGGATCCCAGGACCCTGGGATCATGACCTGAGCTGAAGACAGACCTTAACCAACTGAGCCACCCAGGCACCCCGAGCTCTCATATTTTCTTACCACTAATCTATTGCCTTACCCAAATCTACACCTATGTATTCTTTTTACATATTTCAAAAAAGAATTGTGCCTTTTTCTGTGAAAAGCAAAATCCTCCACTTGTGCTTTGGGTTCCGCTCTTGTCTCCTGAAGAATTTTGTTCTTGCCATATCCCCCCTCTCTCCTACAGAATTAATTTCTCCATCTCTAATGAATCAGTCCCATGAATGCACACACATACTCTATAAGTATATACTCAAGAACCTTTCATCTTGAAAAAACCCTTGACCCCATGTCTTCAACATGGAATCTACCAAATTACCAGCATCTGTACATATATCCTCTGCCTTTTCTCCTGTTAATAATGGAGAACTGTCTTTTTTCCTATTAAAGGCCATTCTCTCAACCTGTATGTTGGATACCATCCTATCTAACTTTAAACTCTTTGCTCCTAAAATTAGCCCCTCTCTCTCCTGCATCATTTTATTTTCTCTACTGGGTCATTCAGCACGTGAACATGAAGCAATAACTCCCATCTTAAAAACAAAACAAAACAAAAAACCCTCTCTTAATCCCATGTACCACTCCTATTTCTCTGCTCCTCCTTAGAGAAAAATTCCTCAAAACAGTTGTTATTTATCTCCATATCCTCACTTCTCATTCTCTTAAGAACCCCCTTTAACATTCATCTCCTCTACTTGGCTGAAGTGCTCTTGTTGAGGTCATAATGACCTCTGCCTTGCCAAAATCAATGGTTAATTCTTCATTCTCATCTTACTCATTTAACACATTCACTTCCTCTTTCTTGGAAGCCCTTCTTTACTTGACTTGCCTTCATTGTCCTCCTGTCTCATCAATTGTTCCTGACTCAGTTTTCTTTTGAGTCAGGAACTTCTCTTCCCAGCCTCTAGGTTGAGGTGAGTGATGGCTTTTCTCAGATTCTTTAGAACTTTCCTTGTTCCCTAGGCAATGTCATCACTTCCATGGCTTTAATTGTATGCTGGTAACTTCTCAAATTTTTCCCTTGAGTTCCAGAGTTTTATAACCAGTTGTCTATTTCATACCCCTACTTGAGTATCTAGTAGGCACGTAAAATTAAATGTGTCCATAACTGAACTCTTACTTCCACACCGAAACTTGCTCTTCCTTCACTGTTCCTCATTTCAGCAAACGGTACCACCACTCATTCATCTAGGTGCTAGGATCAAAAAACCTTGTAGTCGTTCTTGACACCTGTTTTCCCCTTACACTCAGCCTCCAAACCATCAGCAAACCTCAGTTTTGAGATATATCATGACTGAGCACTTACTAACATCTAGAGCTTCATCATCTTTTTAAGCCACTGTCATCTCTTGCTCGATCCACAACAATGGCCTTCTGCTTGCTCTTGCTTCCACTCTTGCCCCATTCCTCCCCCCTCTCCAGTTTATTGTTCATACAGTGGTCATGGGTCTTAGAACATAAATTCTATGCAACTCTCCCACTCTCACCTCTCCAGAGGGGGTTCTCATCTCATATAGTTTGTAATCTAAAGTCCTTAGCAGGCCTGCAAGGCCCCACATGACCCTCGTCCAGATGTCTCACCATCTCCCCACCATCTCTGCTCTCCGACCACGTGGGCCTCCTTGCTCCCACCTCACAGTCATTTCATTTGACTTTTCCTCTGCCAGGACACCCTTCCCTCAAGTCTTTGTCACCTTTTAAAGATATACCAGATCACTCTGTCAAAACAAACACTCTCTATCCTGCTCATTTTCTTTAAAGTACTTGTCTTATTGACTGTACAATATAATGTGTCTATTTGTTTACTGTTTATATTAAGCTCACAGAGGACAAAACCTTTCTTTTCCACTGTTTCATCCTCAGTGCCTCAAGCAGGGCCTGGAACAAGTTAGGACTTAGCAGTTATTGTTGAATGAAAGATTTCTTCATTCAGCCTCTGTTACCAAGTCCACTTGGTTCCTTCTCTATCCTTAGGGTTGTTAAGAAAATTGAGTTAATACCTGTAAAGCATTTAGAGCAGATTGTGGTACTGGTAAGTGCTTAGTAGATGTTAGCCATTAGTAGTGGTGGTAGTATTTTTATCTTAGTTGGCCTCTGGGCAGCATTTAATACAATTGACCACTCCCTTCTTGAAATATATACCTCTTAGTCTTGGCCTCTGTGACACCACAGTCCCCCAGTTCATCACCTATGTGACTGCTTGCTTCTTGGGCTCATTTGCTGAGCCCTCCCTATTTTCCTGAACTCTAAAGAGCTCCATCCTGACCCCTTTTCTTTTTTTCTTTTTTTTTTTCTTTCACTTTCCCTCCCGGGCTGTCTTACGTACACTTACAGCTTTAAATAGCATGCCTATACTGCTGCCTCCTAAATTTATATATTCCAGCTCTACTCTCTTTCCTGTGTCCCACACTTATGTATTCAAACTGCCTACTGGACATCTCCATTTGGATATATCGTAGGCATCGCAAAAATAACGTACTTTGAAATAGAAGTCTTGATTTCTCTCCCAGTCTTGTTCCTCCCTCACTCCTCCAACTGAATGCTTCCAGAAAATGGCAAACAGATTGCAGGGGAAACAAAGGTAGAATCAGGGAGACTACCCGAGAGGCTCATCTAGAAATCCAGGTGAGAAATGGCCATAATTGGGATGAGGGTGTACCAATGGAAGTGAATGAATTCAAGAAATAGAAAAACTAACAACTTGCATTGGATGCATTTGATTTGAAGGTGAGGGAAGAGAAGTCAGGGAGAAATAGTAGTTTTTTTTTTTTTTGGCTTGATCAAACTCAATGCTATTTTATAAAGTAAGGATGCCACCCTTACTATATAATCCTGCTTGTGGCTTCCCATTGCTCTTAGGATAAACCAAACCTTTGCAGGGGTCTCTAGAGTTCTGTGAGCCCTCTGACCTCACTCCCTTCTACTCCTTCCTGCTTACTCTACCCCAGTCATACTGACTTCTTTTCTGTTCTCTAAAAGGCCAATCCCATACTTGCCCCTGCTTCAGAATCTGTATTTGTGGTTTCCTCTCCCTAGATGCTTATTATTTTTACAGGATTGTCTCATGATTAATTCCTATTCAGGTCCCAGTCCACATTTTTCTTTTCTTTTTTCTTTTTAATTAATTAATTTATCTTCCAAGTTTTTATTTAAACTCCAGTTAGTTATGGGGAGCCTGGCTGGCTCAGTTGGTGGAGCGTGTGACTCTTGATCTCTGGGTTGTGAGTTTGAGCCCCATATTGGGTATAACGATTACTTTAAATTTTTTTTTTAATCTTTAAAAAAAAAATTCTGGTTAGTTAACATACAGTGTAATATCAGTTTCAGGTGTAGAATTTAGTGATTCGACACTTCATACATCACCTGGTGCTCATCACAACAAATGCTGTCCTTAATCCCCATCACCTATTTAACCCATCTCCCCCCACCAGCTCCCCTCTGGTAACCAGCAGTTTGTTCTCTATAGTTAAGAGTAGTTTTATGGTTTTCCTCTCTCTCCCCACCCCATGTTCATCGGTTTTGTTTGTCAAATTCTGCATGTGAGTGAAATCATATGTTATTGATCTTTCTCTGCCAGTCCATGTTTTTAAAAGGTTGGAAAGCCTGACTCTTAGAGGGCCTTCCCTGTCCATGATGCCTAAAGTAACCCCCTCAGAAGTAGCTTGATGATGAGATTCTCTCTCAAAAGTTCTCAGACTCTGCTTTAGAAAATACTACTTTAAAATTTCCTATCTTA